GTGAGGAAACAATAAACCAAATGAATTGCATGTTAAGAGATACCAAAAAATAAACATGCATTTCACAGTTCTTCGTGAACTAGCAAAATGCAATTTCCAACAAAGTAGCCTAAGTTGCTGGGAAAATTGCACCCCTCTCGGTCCTGCTTAGCGCCCATACAGGTACTCTCTGGACCAAATAACAGTGGTTGGTATAGAGGCTTCATGTCACGTTTACTGTAAATGTGGTTGTGAGGTTGATGTCTACATAGTAAAAGAGTTTAAGTCCATGCATGGTTTTAAAGTGACCAAGACTTACATGTAATAACAGTTTAATGCCCAACTTCCACATTTGTTGAAAATGGAAAACTTACCAATGAAACATCAGTTTGGAGATTCAACAGGGATGCTGGCAAAATATCTTGCACTCTTGATGCAATGTCAGTGTTCAACATTGGAGGTACATGTACATCTTGGGCTCCAAGGTCAGCAGAGGATGACAGTTCATGGGCACTTGCACTCTCACAATCTGGAGACAAATAGGAGGCCACTGGTTAAAAAGACTGAATCTTGTTCACTGAACGAATACTGGTTTTCTGTAAAACTGGTATGTTGTGGCTTTTGAATATTCCTTTAAGATTTAGTTATACCTTAGCCCTAACCCCCAGGGACCATTGAAATCCTGTATAACCTTGTTGGGTTCAGCACAGTTAGGGTTAAGAAATAACAGTGTTTCAACAAAGGGAAAATAATCAGTAATACCAACAAAGATGCATTTGAACATTAGAGAAATGAGTACATTATAACAGAATTTAAACTTATGAAACAAACTATATAGGGAATCTGACTAGGTGCTTATAAATGATTATAAAGATGAACAAAGAAATTGACTTGAGCGGGATTTGAACCTGTGACCTCTGGAACACTGTACCAGTGCTCTACCAACTTAGCTATCCAGCCCTATGTCGGTAGTTTTCCCATTTGTCAATATCTCTGTTCAAGGGGGGCCCTGGCCAGAAGCCAATAAACCTGGAACACCATGTAGCCAGGGATCGCACCCCAATAACACTATACAAGCTGGGAAGTGGTGAACAGGGATCACTCAAAGAGTGGTAGAGCACTGCTACGGTGTTCCAGAGGTCGCAGGTTCAAATCCCGCTCCAGTAAATTTGTTTGTTCATCTTTACAAGCATTTATAAGCACCTAGTCAGTTTCCCTGCATAGTTTGTTTCATAATACATGTTCAAAAGCCATATCCTTTTTGAGTGATCTCTGTTCACCCCTTCCCACGTTATATCATGTAATTGGGGTGTGATCCCTGGCTACACCATGTACATGTACATGGTGTTTCAGGTTTAATGGCTTCTGGCTAGCGCCACCCGAACAGAGATATTGACAAATGGGAAGAACCACCAACATAGCGCTGGATAGCTCAGTTGGTAGAGTGCTGGTACGATGTTCCAGAGGCTCCAGGTTCAAATTCCACTCCAGTCAATTTCTTTGTTCATCATTATATGAATTTAAACTTCACAGCTTTCATTTATTCTAACTCAAAAATTTAACTTGGAGGAATAATGGGAGAAACTTAGTCTTACCAGTCTGATCTTTCATAGCTTCCACCATCATCGATCGGGTCACTCCAGCTTCAGCTGATAACTGGACAAAATCTTCTGTGTTCTCCAACCACACTGGCTGTTCATTTTCGATGCCATCAGATGAGTCCAGGCTACCCCAGCGATTCAGATCTCCAATGACTGGCATGTCTTCTTCAGTGGGACTAACTTGGTCACCGGTGGCAGCTGCTGGATTACAGACATCATCCGTTGACTGGGTGGTGTCAGAAGTGGGATTCTCTGCAAGTGTGCATGCTGCTGATGGCTTATCAAGGGTGTACGTGTCAGAGCGCCTACACGTAGTCAATGGTTCTGTTGCAGCTATGCTGATGGACACAGGTTCAATTGTAAATGTATCAGAACTTCGTTTTGTTAATTCTTTACGTCTGGCCGATGATGATGACTCAAGACATTCCTGAAACATTGAAACGTGACCATCAAGGCTGTTGTCCTCCATGGAATCCCTCGCATCCTTCATCTCTGGTCTTGTGCTACCTCCATGGCCTGGTGTTTGCTCTGATGATTGAGCAACCTCGTAAGTTGATTCCTGTGATGATTTCTGCACCAGAGAAGTTACTCCCATTGTTTTGCCATCAAGTACATCAATGCATTTTGTTAGCTGTGTCTGGCTGATTTCCTCACCAGTTGAGAGCTGAGAGGAATCTACTTGAGGGATCTCATGAGAATGTTGTATGGCATTCCTGCTTTTAATCCCTCCAATGCCTGTTGTCAGTTCCATCTTTCCTGTGACCTCATGGTCAAAGAAACCAGTTTGATGTGATGGAAGTTGATCTGTGGCATGAGGATAATTGATCTTACCAAGAGACTGTGGTATGTCTTTCTCAACAATCCCACCCGTGCAAGTTGTCATTTCCATAGATGCAGTGTTATCAGATGTAAAGATACGAGTCTGGTCCAAGGGATGTTGCTGTTGAGACGATGAACTAATCACTGAGTCTGTCATTTGAGGAGGTAACTTTGTATTCATCACATGAAAGTGATCTGGATGGTCAACATCTGTGCTATCAGGAACCGTTGCTTCTTCTACAGACTTCTTTGAGAGGAAACCTCCAATGCAAGCTGTCATCTCCATTCTAGCAGTGTTATCTGAAGTGAACACTCTTGTCTGGTCATCAAGGCCATGAGGTTGAGGTCTTGCTGCAAAGGCTGGTAGATGAAGCCCACCGATGCACTTTGTCATGTCCATGCTTGCTGTGTCCGATGAGAAAATCCTAGTGCAATCACCAAGCTGTTTCATGGTCTCTCCCTGACATGAATCAGCTGACATCTTAGGAAATATCCCATCTACACAGGTAGTTATTTCCATTTTAGTAGTGTCATCAGGAGCAGCAATGTACTGAGCTCTATGGCTGGATGTAGAAACCACTGATGGAAGTGGTTTAAGAGAACCAACACACGTTGTTAATTCCATCTGTGCTGTCTCATCTGCAGTGAATATACGTGTTTTATCAATGTGCATTGTTGACACTAGTTGTGTGTCTGTCGTTTTGGAGGAATCTTCCAACACACCCCCAATACAAGTTGTTATTTCCATTCTGCCGGCGTCATCTGAAGGGAAGGTTTTGGTACGGTCTTCAGGATAGTCCAATGACAGAGGATGTGAGACCCCTTTACTGATCTCTTGTTCTGATCTGGGTTGCTTCTCAATCGAGTCAACAGTGTGTATTTGTTTTCCCCCTACAGGGCATGATCTTGATTCTAAGATCAACCCATCAACACACGTCGTAAACTCCATACCAGCCATATCCTCAGACTTAAACATCTGTGTTTTGTCCAAACCAGTTAGTTCATCAGCAACTGATTTCTTGTTGGGCTCATCTACTTGCTTTATTTTGGCTTTATGACTTGATCCATCAGCAGGTTCAGTGGACTCTTTTCTCTTTGAACATTCAGATGCAAACGACAACATACTTCCTTGTTGATTAACCTCTTGGTGTGAAGTCAATGTGCCTAGTTTTGTGAAGCTTGTTCTCTCGTCCAAGCATTCCGTCATCTCCATAGCTGCAGTCACATCATCACGATGGAAGACCCTCGTTTGCTCTGCTGTCTGTGGTTGACTGCCTCCCCAAGAATTTGGACTGTAGCTATTTTCCCCTTTTATGCAGGTTGTCATCTCCATGGAGACAGTGGTGTCATCACGACAGAAGACTGTAGTTTTATCCTCTTCTGCACATGGTTGGTTGTTGTACTTCTGGATAGAGCTCTTTCCGCTTGACTTTGAGAAGTTCACGTTTCCATCCAAGCAAGTCGTCATTTCCATGGCAGCTGTGGTATCATCAGAACGGAAGATTTGCGTTTTCTCTGCCCCTACACTTCCTTGGAGGTTGACTGAAGAATTCAAATTAGTGCTGGCTTTGTTCAGTAATGGGAGATCTGTCTTTCCATCCAAGCAAGCCGTCATTTCCATAGATCCTGTGATGTCATCTTGGTGAAAAATTCTTGTTTTCTCTCCTACGGTGTTCATTTCCTGTCTACCAACAAAATATTCTTTGTACATGTAGGTGTGATTTTGTGACTTTTCAGGATACTCCTGGACACTTAAACAAGTTGTCATCTCCATGGCAGCAGTGGTATCATTTTGATAGAAGATCCTTGTTTGCCCATCTGGTCCTCGATAATTTGAAGAGTTAGGGATTTGTAGATTAGTGCAAGTGGTCAAGTCCATCTCACTTCCATCAATTTTCCCATCAAAGATTTGAGTTATGTCTGTGAGTGGCCTACCAGATTGACGCTTTTGACCTGAGGCTTGAGGTTGTTCTGGTTGTTTCTGTACACCATCTATACACTGTGTCAGCTCCATACTTCCCTTATCATCATCCCCAAACCTCACAGTCACGTCTGGATGCCTGACTGAAACGGCAAATGCATCTTTGACTTGAAGCACACTGCCCACACAAGTTGTGAGATCCATTCCTGATGATGTCTCACCATCCCGATCAAAAAACCGAGTCTTCTGTTCCTCATCCGGATGCTTATTCACATTGCTCAGTACCACGGAATGACCCGGGGGACTAAAGTCATCACTGGGACAAGACTCAGCAAAAGACTTCAGGAAAGTGCCAGCATCTTTCTTCTTGGTTCCTCCATTTGTTTCAACACTTACACAAGCTGTCAAATCCATTTCTGATGCCGTTTCATCCTGAGTGAAAAAACATGTTTGATCTGACAGCACTTCAGAGGGCTGACTCTTGTTTCCCAACAGAGACTGTAGGAAGCTTTTTGCGTCTTTCCTCTTTACTGGACCTCCAGATTCATGGCTAGCGCTACTGACAGTGTCAAGGAAGGATTGTTGAGGGAAATCTTTGTTGTCCTGTTTGGCTGCCTGGTTCTCATCTGCGTAGGTGGAAGATGTTGAATGCACAGGTTGACCAAAATTCTCCTCAACTGTTTTAGAGGACATGAAAGACTTTAAAAATGAACTGGCATCTATTTTCTGGACATAGGCCTCCCCTGTCACATGCTCATCATTTGCTGGACTCTCTTGGTCTTCATAGCCAGCTGGGAACTGCTCTTGGCACAGCTTGAGCTCAAAATTAGCTGCGTCAAACAGATCAACATCTGGATTGTGGACTTCCAAATGACTTGCCGAGGAAACATCGCTGCTGTGGCAGGAACTGCTGAAGGAGTCTACCATCGGAAGGGTGCAGTGATATCTTGGCCCTACCAAACCAACAGCAACGCTGCTGTGATTACTAGCGGCTCCAGGCCAACTTGGCACCTCATCTGTTTCAGGATTGCTGGGATCTGATCTCCCTCTAGCACTTCTCCCAACCTGTGTTTCCAAAGGCAGCTCAAATGTCTCATCAATCACAGGCAACTGAACAGCAGCCTCCCTTGGTTGTGGGTATGAGTAGGGCATCATTGATTCCTGGACATCTTGATGAGACTGGTTCTTTATGGGGCCGGAAAGGAGGGTTTCTAGACCTGGAAATTAATTAAAAGATAATTCTATCATGTTTTACATTTTACCACCTTTAAACTGACTGAACTTTGACAGTAACAGGATGACCTTTTGCGTCTACAAGTACAGGCATGTTAAACTTTAAAATGTTTGGTCTGATATTTTGATTAGGTCTAATACTTACAAGTGAGTCCTGAATGGGTTCCAAACGTTCATTTTATTTCAATTATTTGTTTTTTTGCACTAACGTTAGAGCAGTTTAAAGCACTTTTTGCAGTGTTTACTGGAATGCAAGCAAAACATTGCAGGCCATATATCAGTGACCATACATCCACCACGGGTCAATTTTCAGCATGTTTGATTTCTTCCCTACCCGTGATGTCATAAGTTGAGGCGATCATGGAAGATAAGTTAATGATCGAATAATCTTGGGTTACTCGATATGCCTAAATGTGTCAAAAGGTCATGCAGAAATTAAATTTAACAAATTCGAACTGCCAAATGCAATGGATATCTGCACAAACACACATGTACATGTATCTGGCCTGTATTTGGGTCATTCTATGAGGTTGTGACGGTGTCAGTTGTTACATGGGTTCCGTAAAAAATAAACAGCTATTTCTCTGCATGTGGATTCCAAACTGACATTGTTATACATCTTGCAAGGCTGAATACAGAGGGGTGTGTTAGTTTTACAGAGTAAATGACCTACTCTACAGGTCATGACAGGTGGTAAAAGATGCAGATGTAATAAGTGACAACGTCACAAACTGTGCCCCAACCTCATGGAATGACCCATTTCACAAAACGTACTTGACTGTAATCACCTTTCCCCTCCATGTAACAATTTTTCTGAAATAATTTCAACAACTTTCCTCCACATCATTCACCTAAGCTACTATCTTTCTACATAGCATTGTGGGATACTTCCCCAAGTAACCAGCTCAGTGAGTCAGTTACTTGGCCCAGGCCTGGGGAAAGCATGAAAAGTTACATGAGCCAACTTGAATGCAGTCACTGCGTCGCACTTACCCAAGTAAGCACGGGGGAAGTAATCAAACACACTTAACGCTTGGTAACCTACACATTAAATAAATCCTGGGTACCAGGTGAAATCAACCACTGGTTGGTAAAAATGATGACTGATCAAATTTGGTGAAAGGTGTGCAATGGGAATGCAATGTCATCAAGTCTTTCTCTTTGTCACCAGTGACTTGAGCATCATATTCACATCATATTGAAAGGAATGGCTTGATGGAATACCTGTGATACAGTGCCCTGGTCCCACCGAGACATCTGACTGAAATGATTGAGTGGTTGTTGTCTCTTTCCCTGAACTGCTTGAGGATGATCTGCGAGAAACAAGAAAGAGGTGCATCACAAATGGGGATGACCAGAACAGGAAATGTCTCAGTTCAAACACATTACAGAAAACTCCTGTCAGAGACAATGTCAACTCCATTAGGAATTTGCCATGTTCTTTATGGTCCTGCACTGCTCCAAAGAAAGCAAATACAAGCACTGACCGCTGTTCCTGTCTGAGTACCTTTTGATGTTCCTAAAGTAATTCCAACATAGAAACATGGGGTACAGTTACCAAATGGAACAAAGAATGTTCTCCTTGGAACATTCTACAGCATTTCCACTTTTGAGACAATCCCTTAGTAAGGTGAATGACATGAAGTACACATTATCTGCATTCAGTCTCCTGTAGCCAGAGCACATATTTATTCCCATTCATAAATACCTTGTTTTAGTCAGGGAGTTAAAAGAAGTCAATATATGACGGATTTCAAACGATTTTGTTCTAGAATTTTACTTTACTTTACGAACACCCCCATCCATATTATTTTATAGGTGTGTAAAAGAATCTCCTTATATGGACTTGGCATGCGCGTAGCAGGCCAGGACTTCCACACAGACTCTTGACCAATCAGAACTGATAAACTGTCTTGTATCCAAGTGCCACTGTGTGATTTACATAGCATACGTTATCACCTCTCAGTGAGCATTATTAAATGTTAATATTCAGTCAAGTTGCACACTGTTGAACAGGGAGACTCTCTGAGGTATTTATGAATGCAATTTAAAGATGGGAAAATGGTTTCCAAAAACAGTTGTGACGTAAAATAACCAGGAAAGGAAAGGACTTGATTTGCTGCACTATCAGGCCTCCAAATTCACTTCCATATACCGGTAGTCGTTGACATGATCAGCTTCTCAGGCAAGAAGAGAGGTGTGTAATGTTGCAAACAAACAGTCAAGAAAAGTAAAAGATGAAAGGGGGAACAATGTCTTGGTACTGAACGCAGAAATCAATGAGGATACATACTTGGTGTGAGCCGGTGGTTCAAAGTCCTGCTCTGGTGAGAATGGCTTCGTTGATTCCACATTGGTTTCTTCCAATAAATGCAGCTGGTTAGTAGTTAAGAATTCCCTGCAGGACACAAAGATCCAAAGGAAAGCAACATTAAAAAGGCATTCTGACAAAAGAAAACGTCCTACAAGAGCAGGGACTGGAAATGAAAAGAAGCTCAGCTGTGCAGGGTAGTTGTTAAATTACTGTACCCATTGTACATTGTGATTTGAAAGTTTGCATGGTGGAAGTAGTACAATATGGTAATGATCTGCAGGTACACCATGGGATCTATCTCTTCAACAAGAGGTGAGGTACTGAAGGGAACCGGTGAGGTAAGTGAGGAGGTACATTATTGTATCTCTAAGCTTCTCTATGCAGTTTTGCAAGCTGGCTTATCCAGTAGCCTAATGAAAATATTGCCAAGCTCATGATAGAGTTTGATAGATGTGAACTGCATTCAGGGTTCCTGCACCTAAAGGACAATTAAATTCCATGACTTTTCCATGACCAAATTATGAATATCCATGACCCAATAACACAATTTCTTGGACTATTCGGCCTTTTAAGTTATGAAAACAATCATACATTTTATGCACTTATTTCTGAGAATAGAACAGTGTTTGAAAAATTCCATGCCTTTTCCATGACTT